GCGGGGCTCGATCCCAGGACCCTGGGATCATGACCTGAGCTGAAGGCAGCTGCTTAACTGACTGAGCCACCCAGGCGTCCCCTTATGACAGCGTTTTAAATCCCTGCACCGGTCCTACCTCTTTATGAGTGATCCTGTAAAGTTAGGTGGTATGGAGTTTCATTCCACACTCCGCTTGTGACCTCCTAGAGAAGAGAATGGAACTCAAGCCTCCCATATGCATCAGGTCTTTATTTCCATTAATGTGCCTTAGAGTCTGCACCTAACGAAATGTCGATGATCTAGAGCTACTGGCCAAGGTGTTTGGGGAGCACGGCTTGAGCCATGGCCCCACGTGAATCATCAGCATCTGCAAACGTGATGAGCGCCACCTCAGTGCCTGCACCTGAGTCTCTCCCAGAGGGGAGGGCAGGCTCTGTGGCAGACGTGCTCGGCGTCTTACCGTGAGCCCCCCTGTCCTGCCGGCCTCCTCTGGCAGCCAGGGGTCGGACCTGGGAGGAGGTGCCATACTGGCCACACCGCCCATCAGCGTGTGTCTGACAGACCGGGGGCCCCCTCTGGAGCAGGCACTGTGCTTCCCGTGACCCTCACCCCCTGCTCCCGGCACCAGGCCTAGCCTGGAGCATGCCCGGGGAGGGGGGTGGTGCTGGCTGGCTCCCCAGTCCCAGGACAGGTTCCCAGCCACAGCGAGAGGCCAGGGGCCAGACTGCGGGATGCACCCTTCGAGGTTTGCCAGCTCTGCTCTGGGCTGAGGAGCGTGGGGGTGGAGCTTCCCCCCGGACCTCACCCCACCAGCCCTTACGACCTTGGCCCAAACCGCGGCCCTTCTTGCTCCCTCTGCTCTGGGCCTACAGGCCCTCTTGCCCACCCGCTTCCTCTTCCAGGAACGCCGCCTTCCCCCTTCCCTTCCTCCCTCCTCCTCTGCCCCTCGCAGCCTCCTCCTTCCCTCCACCCGGCCGGCCGCAGGACAGGCTCCTTTGTCCCTTAAGAGGGAAGCTCACCTGTTGAGAGAGGTCTTCCCTGACCTCTTCTGCTGTCACTCTGTCCCCACACCCCCTTTATTGTCTGCGTCTTTTCCTTTCCTTAAAATGACCCTATTATTTTTATTACGTTCTGGCTCCCACCACACCCTGAATTCCCTGACTTATCTCTGCCACCTAGCACAGACCGTAACTGTTGACGGAATCAGGGTTGATGGGCTTTCTCTGCTGCAGATGGCAGACCTGCACGCGGTCCCGAGGGGCCTGTACGACGGGCCGGTGTTTGACCTGACCACCACACCCAAAGGGGGCACCCCCGCGGGCTCCACCCGGGGCTCCCCCACACGGCCCAACCCGCCCGTGAGGAACCTCCATCAGTCGGGATTCAGCCTGTCCGGTGAGTGGGATGTGGGACGTGGTGGCCCTGGGCAAGAGGGGAGGGACGAGGGAGGAGCACCAAGTGCTCCAAGCTGACAGGTGACCTGGGAGATGGTGACTGGGGCCAGCAGGAAGCTTTGCCCAATCAAAAAGGAGTCCCGTTGAGAAGGCAGGATAAGGCTCGGTGAGATTAAAGATCAGGTTTAAATGATGACCAGTTCTGCTTAGAGATCACAGCTGTTGGGGTGGGGGCCAGATGTTTCCCATTAGGAATCGGTGATTTTCCACGTGAGACTGTGGGGGCTGTGCGTGGTGTGGTCACGTCTCCGTGTGCCCAGAATAAAAAGAGCTCAGACTGCAGGGGCTTCTTCGAACCTGGCGTTTTTACTCTCCCCTCCCTCCTAGTGATAGTGATAGTGTGAGTACGAGCTGCCGTTGAGTAAATACTTACCCCAGGCTGGCCGTACCATTCACCCTGTCTATGCTTTAAGAACTGATAATAATAGAAAATAATTACCCAGTTGCTCCATAACCAGTAGCTAAAAGGGGGAAAAGTAAATGTCGATTTGCGTCTCTGTGATGAACAATTTAAGTGTGAGGGGAGCCAGACACCCAGAAGGGACAGGGAGAGGTAAAGAGGAACGGGTCTAGGGAAGGAAGAGGAACGGGAATGGCAGAAGCCGGAAAGAGCCGAGGGGACAGGATCAGGGGAGGAAGGCAGAAGGAAAAGACTGCAGGTTTTGAGGTGACGTTGACACAGGTCACATTATGATTGTGGCAGGTAATTTTTGTCTTTTTTTTTTTTTTGCCATTTGAATTGCTCCCTGGCTGACCTCCTCCCTAACATGTCGCAGCTCCTCTGTGAATGGACGTAAGCGCACTTGTGAGCGCTTCCTTCCGTGCTGAGCCTGCAGGGGCCTGACCAGCACCGGGCCAGGTTGTGAGACCCGGGTCAGGTTCCCTAAGCTCTCACAGCCCCAGTCACTGCCTCTGTTCAATGGGAACAATCACAGTAGCTCCCTCCTAGGATAGTGGTGAGGATCGGGTGAGGTGTCTGAGGGGCACCTAAAACATTGCTTGTCGCGGTGAATGTAAGCAGCTGTTTCTCAGATCACCGGCCTTGTTTTTATTATCATTTTTATGATGCTGAGGGTCCGATGGTGTCTAGATGAGAACCTGGCTTTTCCTGGCGGAGATGGGTGTTCCCCAGGAGGGCGGATATTAAACGCCTGGAATGCTTGACAGGACCGGAATGGAATTTCTTGGGAGATGAGGCCAGGAATGTGCTTGCCGTCTGACACTCTGTAAATTAATCCAGTTTCTCTCTTGCGCTCTCTCTTTTCTCTTCCTGGGAATGCATTGCCAACTGCAGGCACCCAAGTGGATGAGGGGGTCCGCTCGGCCAGCAAGCGCATCGTGGCACCCCCCGGAGGCCGTTCTAACATCACGTCCCTGAGTTAAGCGACCCCTCCCCAAAGAGAGGGGCAGAAGCAAGAAGAGATTTTTTTGAAGCCAAAATGGTACACCAATATTTAAGAAGGAAAGCGAATCCAAACAGTTGCGATCTAAAGAATCAATAAGCCTCAAGCCTTATGTTTCTCCAATGCTACACTCGCTTGCCTAGCTTTACGAATATTGCTTTGTTTTCTGTTCATGCATAGCCTTGATTGGTTTGACCCTGCCTCCCCGCATTTACGTGCATGCAATCAGACAGGCTACTAAGGTAAAAGTCTGCTATATAGTGTTGAGAGCGTGTGTAGTGCTGCATTTTATGACAAGGGGACAGACAAAGCTGGGATGCCAGGAAAATCAACAAAAGGGACGCAGTTATTTGGGGTGAGGGGGTGGTGGGAGCCCAGAGCGAGGCAGAAGGCTCAGAGGGGCTGGGGTAGGGCGTGGACGGGGAGGCGGGTGGGTGGGTGAGCATAAGGGGGCTTGTGTATTGTGTTGACGAAGCACGTTTGTTTCCACGGAAGATGGCTACTTGGGGCAGCCTGTCCCTTCATCACGGTCCCCAGGGGTCTGTGGAGAAGGCAGGCAGTCTTCAGGTTCCAGACGTAGTCACATCCCCTCCTAGATTTTATTCCTTTGAACATTTTATTAAAACACCAAAACCCAACCATTATTTTCACCTGCTTGATCGTGCCAGTGTTTGGTGGGGCCTCTTTCTCAGTGTTGCTTTCAAATTCTCCTCTTTCCTGGGCCGGGAAGGAAGAGAGGAGAGAGGAAAGCCCTCTTCTCTGTCTTGCCTGCCTCTTTGGTGCTCTTTAACAACAGGCCCTCGGGGTGGGGGCAGCCATGCTCACACACCTTCCTCAAAGCACACGTTGGAGATCCCCTCGCATTCGCGTGGCTTCGCGAACTGGGAAGAGCAGCGTGTGTTCGTCATCCCAAGTTAGGACGAGACTCAGTGGGGCCCCGGGAAGGGCTTCTCTTGCTGCCGGTCAGTAGCCGATTCTTTCCGTCTCAAGATCCAGGCACATTCGTGATTGAAGAGGATTTTTAGTGCTTAGGTGTTCTCTAAGTTTTGCTCCGAACAGGTGATCTCAGTTGAGACGGGAGCCAAGCAAAGATATGGGAAAGCTAGTCTGTGGAGCTGAGGGAGCACATTCTGCGGCCGTGGGTCTGCTTTGCAGCCCTGAACCCTCTGTCGCCTCTTCTTTGAGCACATCCTCTGGGGGAGCTTTTTGTTTCCTTATAAAGCCTCTCAAGGTGAGTGGAAGTGACATGCAGCCTTGTGTGATGTGGCCCAGAACAGACGTGGAGCTCAATGTCCATTTCCCCGCCCTGCCACTTGTGAAAATTCAATGTTGGAGCAAGTTCTCTGAGCCAGATGAGGATCTGTAGAACTAAGGTCCAGAGGCAGAAAAAGTACATTCACCCTGGGATCAGATGTCTGTGCTTGGGGGATGCGGCCCGTAGGACCCTAACCGTGTGTACTAGGTACTCGGAAGAAAGAGAGCAGGCCTCAAACACCTTTCAGGTGCTCAGGAGAAGCTGTTCTCTCTGACAGCTGAAGACCAGAGAAAAGGGAACAACAACACATGGCTAAAAAGGAATTTGGAAATAGCCAAGGAAGAGGACTCCCCCTAGCCATCTAATTACTGTTCTATTCATGAAAATGATCATTTCTCCTCATAATAAGGAATCTTGCTATTTGAAGGCTTTTTCATGGTGCCTTTATTGTAAAGGAAACTTAACGGGAGCATGTAGCTCTTGATTTATAACTCAAAACACCTGAGGGCCTGTCGCAGAACTCAGAATGACAGTTTTGCGGACAGAGGGAGATTGCCAGATCTGAAGCGTCTAAGTTACATATATACCTCATTGGCTGGGCTGTTCTGTAGGATGTGTTGCAGTACCAGCCACAACCACCAGGTGGAGGAAAAGACAAAAAACCAGTGGGCGCGTCCTCTTGTGTACCGTCTGCTCTTGATTCCTAGCCAGAGCCCAGCTCCTCCCTCCATGACCTCTCTAGGCCATGACAATAAATCCTTCATGGCCACATTGGTCGTCTGCACTGCACTGGGACTGCTGAATGAAGCATTCAACCAGCACTTCATATCCTACACAAGCTTTCCATGCTGTAGGAATAACGCTAATGCCTTCACCATGGGCAACGTGATCTGGGAAAGCCTCCCTTTCTTCACTTACTATAAGTAACTTCCCAAGCACAGAGATTCCTAAGAATTGCAGGAAAACTCCCTCTCTTTCCTTGACTTTGGTTTCTCGTACCTTGTTACTTGAGTTAAAATTTATATTCAAATGTGTCCTCTTCCATAAGGCACATCAAAGAGCCCTCCCTATACACAGGGCTTAGGAAGAGAACATGATGCAAGTCACAGCTCTCTCAGAATTCACAGCATCTCATCCACATGTGGGAGGGCTTGCTGGACCTTCGTCTCCTGCCCAAGCTTTCTTTTGCCCTCTCGTCTCTTGGCCTGGCCCCTCTCTAAGGATGCCCTGGCTTCCCTGCAACAGTCTCACATTATTCCTTATCCAGATGGCAGTCAACTGGGGTTCTCTCTGGGAGGGCCATAATCTTGGGTAGTTGAGAAGGTATTTGTGGAATTGTTAGATCAGCCAATCCCGTAGAGGTGTTTCTTCTATTTCTGTTTTCTAAAACTGGCAGTTGTAGTCATCCCGAAAATGGGTTTTCTTCAAAGACCAGTCACCCTTTGGCCTTTTTCCTCATGCCTACACCCAGAGAGTCATGCTCTGCTGCAAAGGCCTTAATCCTAAGCCTGGACTTGCACTCACCCTGAGAGGCCCTTCCCCACAGGGTGGATGAGCCCCCCCCCCCCACCAAACTTGGTTCTAGCCACAAGCTTCCCAGGCCTACCCCCTGGAAAACTCCAGCTTGAGTCCCAGATATACCCATGGGCTGTCCCGGGCAGCCAGCATTCATTGTACAAGTTCCCTCTTTGGAAAATGGTGTGTGGGTGTTCAGTTCTGTGTCTGGTGAATATGAACAGACCGTAAATCTCCCTGTGATCTGTGGTAGCTGTAAGGCAGCTCGGAACGTGAAGAGCTGTTTGGTTTGAACCGTGAAGAAAACTGTGTTTTGAGTTTAGCTGAGATTAAAGAAAAGTTCATCAAGTGACTGTTAATGTACACCTGGTTATTAAAATAACTATGAAATTACGGATGTTGTCGTCCAGCCTTCTTCTGTACGCGATGTGCCGTTTCACTTGCAGTATGAAAATTGCACAATAAAACTGACGTGCTTAATGAGGGGGGCAGATTTGATGAAAACAAGAGGTTTCCTGAGGAAATCTGGGGGATTTCTATCTTCTCAGTTGAGGTCGAGTTTTTGTTTTGGCCACAGAGTTTGATGACCGTTATTAGAACTTAGAATGACTGAAGTTTTTTCTGGGGATCATCTCATGTAAAACACATCACCATTTGAGATAAGGTCTGGCTGAGTCCAGTACAGATCCTGACAGGGTTTCATCTGTTTCTTGTCATCTCCTTAAAGGTTTTCTGCTTTCCCTAAAAGCCTGGACTTTGAGAAAATTCAAACTAAGCATTTTCCAAGGTATATTCTTTTTTTTTTTCAAACTATATTATATATGTATCATATATATATATGTATATATATATATATAGTTATTTAAAGATTTTATTTATTTTTTGAGAGAGAGCCAGAGAAAAAGCCAGAGAGACAGCATGAGCCAGGGGTGAGGGGAGGCCGAGGGAGAGGGAGAAGCAGACTCCCCACTGAGCAGGGAGCCCACCTCTGGGCTTGATCCCAGGACTCCGGGATCAGGACCTGAGCCAAAGGCTTAACCGACTGAGCCACACAGGCAGCCCTCAAGGTATATTCTTTAACATACTGATCCCAAGTTGTGTAGGAACGTTGGCAAGGATTATTTACTAAGCTACACTAAGCTACTCCTCTGACAGTTGTAAGGTCATATCATCAAATTAAAAGCTATGAGAAATCTTCTAAGCCTTTCAGAATTTGTCCTATTCAAGGTTCTCGAACTTTTTGGCTGCTGAACCCTTCTATATCCTCTTTTAACATCCCAGTGACCTATTATGCTAAACTCTCTTTGGGGAAACACGCCTGGATCCACTTTCATATTGTATGGGATACTTCTCATTGCAAATGGCAGACTACTGTATGCACAAAATTTTTTTGAAAAGGGTATTTTAAAGTCTGGTGTAATGAGAACTTCAGGGATAGAACTGGGTTGACTGAAGCATAGCTCGGTCTAGAACGTGGTTTCTCTTAATCGCTTAGCCCTGCTTGCTTTTAGTAATTGCTTCTTCAGAAAACTTATGGGTGTGGGAGCAGAACTGGCCACTGGCATCCCCACGTTTTCATTTTGCCTGCCTAGCAACTCGGGAAGGAGAGAGGCTCCCTCACTAGGTCCAACCAAAGAGACCGATTCTGGTTGGCTGGCTTGTGACCTGTGTTCACCATAGGACTAGGTACCCTGGCCAGGACACTGAGACTGATGGGCGCCCCCTGGTCATGTGCCCAGCCCCAGAGCCACGTGAACCCTGAGGACTCTGGATCACACCCAAAACAACCAATTTGTGATACCAGATTTGGATACGGGGTGGGCAGAACCAGCAGATGGCCATGGTACCTTTCTCAAGCCTGTGGGGCCTGAGTGTTTTGCTCAGTGAAGAGCCTGTGTGTAGGTTGGAGCAGTTGGAGATGGCGATCAGAAGATGCTGTTTTCTTACTAATTGCTTGTATGTGTCATGAACCTTTCTTGCTTCTGTGGAACGTTGCTGTCTAGTACAGGGGCATAGAGTGATGATAGCTTTTGACACCGAAGCTTAGAAAACATCAAAAGCTACTCTCAGCACATGATTATTTCAGTTTGAGGTTCAAGGTTTGACCCATAGTCTCAGTTTGCAGCTTGAACTCAGGGTTGGTGAAATACCTGTCCCAGCTCATGACCAGGGCAGCAACTGAGCTCTCCTTAGGATTAGGGTGGGTTTAAAGGGCATGGGCAAAGCTTAACTGAAGTGAACTCAGGTTGCAGGGTTTGCAAGAGATGAAGCCGTGTTTAAAAAAAAAAATGGTGAAACAGACATAGACACTTTCACCCCACTGGGGGCTAGAGCTGTTCGGGACTGAGTCACACCTGACCAGGTGGGGGATGAGAGTACTGCAGGCATAAAAAGGTCTCTCTGGTTTCAAAGAAACTTTCTGGAATCGGCTCTGCTCCCATCAAGCCATCACAAAAGGGACACCAACCATGAGCAGGAAATGGGGGATGTAAGGGCCAAAGCAGGTGACAAAAATGAGATCACATACTTCAGGCTGTCACTCTTCAGAACCAGGAGTTCTAGATCTTGCTGTGTGCTCAGTTGGCTACTGGGAACAAAGCAGGGTGCCTGACATGGCCTGGACAATAGGGCACTCAGCATTTAGGACTTCAGAGCCCGCAGGACTTACAAGAGCCTACTGACTTCAGGATAAGCCCAGGGAACCAGCTGGCCTACTGGCTGCTAAGCTGCTGCGGGCCTAAAAGGAAGTTGCTTCCAGCTACAAGGATCCAGAGCTGCCCGTGACCCTCCTGTCCCAGGTTTGGAGCATCCACCTGCTGTTCTGGTGTATGGCATGGGGCAGGACGAAGATGCTGAAGGGTAGCAAGGCACAATGCTGAAGAAGAGGGGCACGGGCTGTCTTGGACAAGGTCAGAGTGAAGGGCAAAGTCTGGAATTCTGGGCTGTGCTCCCTAAGGTGTGAATGCTAAGGGGGCAGGCTTTTAGTTCTATTTGTGGGTCAGTTAAATTGTGCTGCATCCCACCCGTTCTAGAATATCATCTCTAATACCAGCTTGTCCCTGGTCAAGGACGGTCCTCACAGTGGGAAATGGAAGTAGGAACAGGTGACTTTGGGCACCCACAGCCCTACCTCTAGGACAAACAGTGACACACAGCTGACAAGGATCAGTGGCTTACTGTATACAGAAGACATTTTAATACACCAAGGCACATTTACATCATATCAACAGAAGCATGTGTCTCCCACCCCGTGGCTGCATGCTCACAATAGCGCAGATCACTGCAGTTTGGATTTTGAACATCAGTGTTCAACGTCAGTCAGACACACTGAGCTTGTAAGAAAGAGCAATCACAGGCAGACAGTAGGAAACAGGATGTTGTGTGGACAACGCAGGCACGACTGGCTACTGAAACAAACACGATGGGTTGCACGCCTTTTCGTTCGGCTGGTGAACGAAAGCCTTAGCATGACTGCATCATCAAAAGCAGCAACCCAGCTTCCTGACGGCTCCGTTAGCATCCGTATTTGCCCATCCAATCTAGAGAAGCCATGATGATCTACGGCCTCGTTGTTTCCGGTTAAAACTTGCCCATCACAAGAAGCTTCACTACGAATTAATGACCGTAATTCATTTAGCAGTGCTTTGTGCTGCTGGACATTCAGTGCTGCCCTAGCAACGACCCCAGCCAAAACCAGCATGGCCCTCGAGATGTGTTTGCCATTAGCGGGGCATTCACTTCCATGGAGTTCGGGGCGTGGGCAGGCTTACAGGGCTCGGGTGCCCACCCAGCCATGAGGGGCCGCTGAATGCAAGGGGTCTCTGCTGCAGGGTAAGAGTTATTATAACCTGGATGCTTCTGGTCTTGCTCCGAGTTTTCAGATGCTCCACACAGGTAAGGGAGGAAGCAGTTAGAAGAAGATGGTATGAATACCAGACAAAGGGCTGCGATACTCAGCTTGTTTTCTAAAATTCTGAGCCCTGAGCCCTGGTTTTCACACATCTACTAATTGATGAGACATGTTCCAACTGGTTAGGATAGGAACTTTGGGCCCAAGTTACGGAATAAAACCAAAGAATCTGATACCAACATCTAGCAATCATGGTACAGATTTAGGCCTCCTTCTGGTTTTTGGAAAACTTTTTCTCCTAATGTTTAAAATGTGTGGTGGTGGGAGGTGCTTATAATCAGTTGTTCTGCACTCTAGATGCAATGCTTTTTCATTTCTAACTGGAAACACATGGTGGGTCTGTAACCTGATTAGGACTGAAAATCCATCTTACCACTCTGAGGCTGTGCTGTCTAGTTGGTGTGTCCACGGTTCCTGAATGTCCACAGAGGTGCCTCAGGCACAGCAGGAACTCACCGGAAATAAAAACTAGGGGTTCACGCTACAGAGATGGTAGGGGGTTCCCATCCTGTTAGACATTGTACAGATGTGAAATGACACAGATGGCTGGCTCCCTTCCCCACGGAGAGCCTCCTGATCCCATTGTCCTGTGGCAAGTGTTTGCCGAAGTCTTTCCCCTGTGATGATACACACAAGGTCACAGCAAGAGGAGACACCAGGTGACTGGAGAGAGACGTCCACAGCGCATCAGGACTTGAGTCAAAACGCATGAAAGTTGCCAGTTGCTAAACATGCTAGTGATCCCTGACACTCCTGGGCTTACCAACCTGGAACAGAAGCGGGTCACCTTCCCCTTGCTCTTTTCATATATAATCAGAAACAGAGTCAGGGCCAGTGCCGAGTTTATATAGCGTTTGGAGAAAAGCAAAATAGCATGGGCAAATAATATGTGGGAAATGTAGAAAAACAGAATCAAACAGAAGGAAAGATCTGGTTTTAATTCTTAGCAAAAATATGGTTGCTCTTAAAGTAGAGAGGCACTGTTCACAGCTCTGCCAGAAATCCTGGGCCTGTTAACTCAGGGAGGAGAAAATCCTGGAGGCCAAGTTAAAATCCAGCATTGGCTTCCTACCCGTGTTTAATTGCCCGAGTGCTGCTTCCTTCCTTGGATGTCTGGTGTGGCAGGTGTGGGATCTGTTACTTCAGCCTGTTTTCTCTGTCTGGTCTTCCCTGTTGCCTCCTCTCTGCCATCTTGGCAAGGCCCTTCCTGTCTGTAAGGACAAGGCTCAGGTGATCTGAGCGGCATCCCTAAGTTCTGTTATTCCAGTCTATAAAAGCATATATAATCGGTTCCACATTTTGGTTCATCTGATACCGGCCAAAAATGAGACCAAAAATAAAAGACAAAAATCAAAGCCCCAAATGATGATTTGTTTCATTGCTCACTGCACCGGGCTTCGCCTAGAAAAGATACCAACCATGGTGTGGGTAATTTAAGGGAGTTTCCAAGTGTAAATTTTACTCTCTTCCAAATTCACCTCCC